TTGACAGTAGAAATTATAGAGAATGACAAGAAATTTGGCACTAAAATAGAGTTTAGTTTATAGGTTTCTTCAATAAAATGAAGAATGTCCATATTAAATGCTATTTTTCTAGTGATTAGAGAAACTAGAAAACTGTTGTGCATTAACGGAATCATTTTGCATTTGTCACATAAGTGGTTCTATGGGTCATTGACTCAGAGTAGAAAGCTGACACAATCGAATAGCAATTTATGCTCACTGATGCAACAGTAGGAAATGACCTAAATTAACTCTTGTTAAAAATGATTACATGATATTAAAAAAATGAAATGTTAAAATACAATATAGAAATCAAGAAGAGTTACATTAATCCCATAGAAAATAATACTTGTTTTGTTTGAGAAATATTAGTATCCACAAAACTGACTGTACTATTTCCTGGAGCCAAAACATAATTTACAAAAATCTGAAAATGTACACATTCTTTTAAAGAGGCCAAGGACAATGCCTTTTAAACTTTTGATGGAAATGGTTAGAGCTTTGATTTTATTTTTCTTCTTATAGGACATTAGGGATTTTATAATAAACTGGGTATATTATAGTAATATCATTCAGTAATACCATTCATAGTATCCCTGGCTAGCAACCATTTTAGGGGTACTTGTGAGTAGATTTGTATAATTGATATTTTGAATGAAGGTTTTCATTAGTGTGTAACATTATTTGAACTTTGAAAGAAATAATGTTAAGAAGACATCAGTGTGATCTGCAACATTTAATTGATATGACCAATAAAGATAGAGGGGAAATTTATTATTTATTTATATTTGTAACCTCATTTTCTAATGGACAAAAGACGGTACTTTTTGCACTGTGGTAGTTGGCATCTATTTAAAGAATACAGTCATCCACTCTAGAAATTCTGACACAAATAACATATTTTTCAAGATTATATTAAAATAAGAACAGATACACAAAACATATTAAACGGTGGGCTAAGGGCAGGGTAGATAAAGAATATACATATACACATACCTACACATACTCTCTTTGTATATGTGTGGTTTTGTGATCAGGTTATCACCAATGGAATGAGAGCAAAATAAAAAGCACCCACCTGAGGCTCTCTCCTGCCTATAGGAAAACTGCTTCTTTGGGTTTTCTCTCTTTCTTCATTCAGATATTCAATCATCCAACTCTGACTTTGTTGAAGAACACATTTGTGAAAACAGTATTTAAGAGGAAATTTGGGTCCATAAATGACCTTATCAGGTGACATTGCATTGGTAGCCTAGATTTATCAGATGATACTGAAAGAGGGGGGAATAATGATCTATCTTATTTAAGGGACGTCATTCTTGTCAATTGGATCAGAATTCCAAGGGAAGATGTGTGAAGTATATTTGCTTTGTCAGTCATCAACACTAATAGATGACATTCACATGCAAGGCTAAAACTTTTGTATCACTAACACCAGAAATGCATAACTGTAAATTATTATTGATTTTGAGATTTACATAATCTTTATGGAAAAATGAAATTACTAAATAGTAAATAGTATCTAAAGTCCTTCATTTTCCTTTTGAATTCCACAAGTCAAAAAAAAAAATTCCTCTCCTTGATCTTCCTTCAAGTATTTACCCCATAGATACCTATTGCTACCTTTTTCATGCCTTCCCTCACCCAGGTCATAAAAATCTATCTCTATGCATAAATATATATCCATGTAATTAACACATTTATTTTTTATTATTTATTAATTATATTATTTTCTTTTTTAAGCTTATTTTTGTAAATTTTAAACTAACTTTTAATTATAGTTGAAATACAGTATTGTATTAGTTTCGGGAGTGCAACATAGTGGTTAGACATCTCTATAACTTATGAAGTGATCTCCCTGATAATTCTAGCACCCATCTGACACCATATATAGTTCTTAAAATATTATTGACTCTATTCCCTATGCTGTATTCTACATCCCCATGATCACTTTTTTTTTCTTTCTCTCCCTTTTTTTTATTGTTCAAATACATATGTCTCCATTTTCCCAACACCACTTTCCCCTGCCCCACTCACCCCACCTCCCACCCTCAATCCTTCCCCACTTTGGCTTTGTCCATGGGCCCTTTATACATGTTCCCTGATTTGACCCTTCCCCTTCTTTTCCCCACCAACCTCCCTCCCTCCTTCCTTCTTGTTACTGTCAATTTGTTTTTCCTTTCAATGTTACTGGTTATATTTTTCTTGCTTGTTTGTTTTGTTGATTATGCTCCGCTTGTAGGTAAGCTCATATGGTATTTGTCTTTCGCCCCTGGCTTATTTCACTTAGCATAATGCTGTCCAGTTCCATCCATGTTGTCCCAAAAGGTAATAGCTCTTTCTTCCTTTCTGCTGTGTAGTATTCCATTGTGTAAATGTACCATAGTTTTTTGATACACTCATTTACTGATGGGCACTTAGGTTACTTCCAGCACTTGGCTATTGTAAATTGTGCTGCTATGAACACTAGGGTGCATAGGTTCTTTTGAATTAGTGTTTTGGATCCTTAGGGTATAATTCCAGCAGTGGAAATGCTAGGTCAAAAGGCAGTTCCATTTTAAAATATATAACATTAAACAACTTAATTTTAAATTTAAAATATATCATTGATTGTTTCCTAGTTTTGTATGCATAGATTTACCTTAATCTTTTGGAAATGTTGCTTAGTAGTAAATTCTAATCTTTTATTATATTTAAGGAGTCATTTAATTTGGCCATTTAAATTATTACCAATGTTATGCTATTAAAAGTTATATTTCAATAAATTATACATAGAGGTGTATATAGATATCTTTATGTACTAATGCCTAAATTATGCCATCTAGTACAACAATTGAGAAAACTGAAGTGATATAAGGTTAACAAGGTTTTATAAGCAAACCCTTAGCAAATCTGATTTTTCCAGGTTTACCTTAGGGAACACCTACATGGAAATGACTAGTGAAAATGTGTACAATGAAAATGAAATACAGAGAATGATGTCAGCATCATGGTGGTATGAGTCATTCCCTTTGTCTCTTCCTTTTAAATTACAACAAGTAGTAGTGTATCCACAGCCCAAAATAGGATCATCTGCACAGCACAATAGGACACCTTAAAGATCTATACACCTGTGCATCCGAAGGTGGGGGGATTGTACATCGTGGTGAAAACAGAGTAGCGGCGCTGCAACCTGTGCCCCGAGGCTCCAATAATTGCAGTGCTGTCCAAGGCCAAAGGCTCCATGAGTAATGGTGGCTGCCAAGACCAAGATCTGAGTTCTCACCACCAGCAACAGTGACTTTGGCCTCTGCCCTCCCAGGGGCTACACCTAAGACCCTGGTGTCCACAGCAGCTCACAGCAGCACCCAAAACTGGAGGTCCCAGAAATTGCTACGGCACTCGAGGCCAAAAGCTTTAGGAACAGTGGTACATCCACAACCCAATGACACCACCAACAGTAAGATACTAGTGATCTCTAAGGTATAAGCAGCAATAACAAGGGTACTGGTGTTGTGACTAGCAAAGTCAGTGAAAGGTGAAAAACACTAGGTCTCAAATATAACTGGAGGCATCTCAGAAAGGTGTTAGCTACTTCAAATGCACCAGCAGAGGAACAATTTATCCAAACACTATACAGAGTTACAGTAACATGATAGCACAAGAAAAATGGCATTCTCCAAACAATAAATGTAAGGTCATGGAAGACTGGAATCTAACCAATACAGAATTCAAAATAGCTTCCATGAAAAAAACTCAACAAACTATAAGAAAATTTACAAACTCAATGAGCTCAGGAATAAATTTAATGCACAGAAGGAGTACTTTACCAATGTGACTGATACTCTAAAATAAAACCAAATAGAAATTCTGGAGCTAAGGAACTCAATAAATAAGATGGATGCATTGTTGCTTTCAATAGAAAGCAATGGAAATGGAGCAGACCATATGAAAGAAAGAATTAGTGAGCTTGAAGGTAGAAATCTAGAAATGTTTCACATGTTAAAGGAGAAAGAATGAAGATCTAAAATGTAGTACAAAAACTTAAAAGAACTCTCTGGCTCAAATAGAAATAGCAAAATAAGGATAATAGGTATCCCAGAAGAAGAGAAGGAGAAGGAAGAAGAGAGCTTATTTAAAGAAATAACAGATGAGAATTTCCAACCTTAGGAAAGACTTGAATACACAAATTGATGAAGCTTACAGAACACCTAATTATCTCAGTTGCAATAAGACTTTCAAGATATATTATATTAAAACTGTCAAAATTCAATGATAAAGAGAATTTTAAAGGCATCCAGGGGAAAAAAAGACTATCTTGCAAAGGTACACCCATTAGGCTATCAGCAGATTTCTGAGCCAAAACTTTAAGGGAAAGAGAGAGTAAAATGACATCTTCAAATATGAATATTTAAAGATAAAACTATTAGTTGAGAATCTCTAGCAAAGTTAAACTTCCAATAAGCAGAAACACATGATTTCACCTGACAAATCAAATAAGAGAGTTTACTACCACTAATCTACCTTATAAGAAATGTTAAAAGGAGCTCATTTCAAGAAATAAAAAAAGAAAGTGAACATAAAACTTTGAGTAATAGTATAAATAAATAGAAAGAATCAAATAATTACAAAGCAATTTCAGAATAAGGTGTTAATCACTAAAGTTTAGCATAAAGATAAAAAGGGAAAACATTAAAAATAATGATAGCTATTTAGTAATAAATACATAACATCAACAAGGACAATTTGTGACAACATAAACATAAAATGGGAAAAAGGAAAGAATGGGACCTTTATAGGTAATGAACTTAAGATTCTTTCAGCAGAAAAACACCAATTTATCTATATGTTTTATACAAACCACATGGCAAACACAAAATAACAATCTAGACCAAAGCCATGAAACAAAAAAAAGAAGAAGAAAACAATAAAAACATCATAAAGATGGCTGGTCCCTGTGGTACTATGAGTACTGCTTCCCCAAAGAGCTCAACCAAATATTCATGAATTGCAACCTTACCACTAGAATATTCCAGCGCTTGGACAAGCTGAAGAAGAATGCCCTTGCCAGTGTCATCTTCTTTGGCACCAATAATAGGAGCTCCATTTCTGGAGTTGGGGTCTTCCAAGGCCAGGAACTTGCCTCTCCACTGAGTCCAGATTGGCAGGTGGACTACGAGTCATACATGTGGCAGAAACTGGGTCCTGGCAGCGAGGAGACACAGACACTGGTTTGAGAGTACTTTTGCTGGGATGATGCATTCCAGCATGTGGGCAAAGCCTTCAATCAGGACAAGATCTTCAAGTGAGCATCTTTTGCCACTGCCTAGCCGCCTACACCTGTTCTTCAGGGAGATGGAGGTCATTAAAGGAGACTAAACATTGAAAAAAAATAAAAACCACCAAATTAAAATAATGGACATATTCACAAGGGAAAGGAAACAATGGAGTTACATAGCAAAGAGAAAACAAAAGATAAAATAGCAGTAGGAATCTCCCATATAGCAATAATTACTCCAAATGCAAACCAGGGTGAACTCACCAACAAAAAGATACAGAGTGGTGGGATGAGTAAAAAAATGACACATAACTGTGTGTTGCAAAAGACTGTGTTTTAAAGAGAAACATGCTCGTAGTAAAAAAGTAATGGAAGTAAAGTAATGGAAGATGATACTCTTAGAAAACGGCAGCCAAAACACGCACGCGCGCGCGCGCACACACACACACACACACACACACAGCCTTATCTATATCAGACAAAACAGACTTTAAGTCAATAAAAGGTAACAAGAGACAATGATGAACATTATATAATGCTAATGAAGACAATATATAAAGAATATATAACATTTATAAAAATATATATATATATATTTCCAACATAGAAGAACCAAAATATATAAGGCAACTATTAACAGACCTAAAAGGTGAAACTGACAACCACATAATGATAGCAGGGGAGTTTACACACCTCACTTACATCAATAGGTAGATTGCATAGGGAAAAAATCAACAGAAAACATTGGCCTTAAATGACATATTGAAACAAATGAACACACTTAAAACATTCCATTCTAAAGCAACAGAATACACATTTTTTATGTGCACATAGAATATTCTAAAGAACAGACTATATGTTTGGACACAAAATAAGTCCCAATAAATTTAAGTGTCTTTTAATGATCACCATAGTATATAACTAGAAATCAACTACAAGAAGAAAACTGGAAAAATTATAAATAAGTGGAGATTAAACAACTTGCTACTGAACAACTATTAGTTCAATGAGACAATTTTAAAATATGAAAAATACATGGAGACAAATAAAACTAAAAATCCAACATTAAATTTATGGGATGCATCAGAAATGTTACTAATAGGGAATTTTATAGTAATAAAAGCCTACCTTAATAAACAAGAAAAATATCAAATAAACTCTCTAACAATACATCTAAAGAAGCTAGAGAAGAACCAGCGAAGCCTAAAATTATTAGAAGAAATAAAATAATAAAAACCAGAGCAGAAATAAGTGAAATAGAGATTAAATAAGACAATAGAAAAGATAAATGAAACTAACAGCTGGCTATTTGAAAAGATAAACAAAATTGACAAAACTTTAGCTACATTCACTAGGTAAACAAAGAGAAAAGGGTGAAATAAAAATCAGAAGCAAAAAGGAAGGTACAATGATACTGCAAAATACAAAGGATCATAATAGGCTATTATAAATAGCTATACAAATAAAAGTTGGAAAATTGAGAGGAAGTGAATACATTCTTAGAATCATACAATCTTGCAAGACTGAATCATGAAGAAATAGAAAATCTGAATAGACTGCTCACTAGTACGATTGAATCAGTAATATAAACCTCACAACAAGCAAAAATTCAACCAGATGGCTTCACTGGTGAATTCTACAAATTTTCAAAAATTTAATAACCTATCCTTCTAAAACTATTCCAAAAAACTGAAGAGGAGAGTATGCTTTCTAATTCATTTTAGAATACTAACATATCTCTGATTCTGAAACCAGACAGGGAAAACATATACACACAACTAAAATATTACAGACCAATATCTCTAAGGAACATTGTTGCAAAAATTTTCAACAAAATATTAGTAAACAAAATACAAAAATAAATTAAAAAGATCATACACCATTATCAAGTGGGATATATTTCAGGAACGCATTGATGTTTCAAAACCTGCAAATCAATCATCGTGATACACCAAATCAACAAAATGTGCAGTAATAATCATATGATCATCTCAATAGACACAGAAAAAGTATTTGACAAATTCAACATCCATTTATTATAAAAATTCTCAATAAAATGAGCTTAGAAGGAAAGCACTTTAACATAACAAAGGCCATATATGAAAAACCCACAGCAATTATTGTACTCAGCATTAAAAAAAATGAAAGCTTTTCCTCTAAGATCAATAACAAGACAAGGAAGCACACTCTCACCACTATGATTCAATATAGTATTAGATGTTCTAGCTAGAGAAATTAGTCAAGAAAAAAGAAATAAAAGGCCTCTGAATTGGAAAAAAAAGTTAAGCTGTCACTATTTGTCAAGAATATAACTTCATATATAGAAAATCCTAAAGACTCCACCAGAAATCATTAGCAGTAATAAACAAGTAAAGTTATAGAGTACAAAATCAATATACAAAAATCTGTTGTAAAAATTCATGTATGCTAACAATAAAAGATCTTAAGAGTAATAAAAAATAATACCATTTACTATTGTAACAAAAATAAAGTGTCTAAAGTTAAACTTACCAACGAGGTGAAAGACCTGTACACTGGAAAATATGTCATTGTTGAAATAAATTGAAGAAGACATAAGAAATAAAAATATTTTTTATGTTCATCAATTGGAAGAATTAATATCATTAAAATGTCCATATTACTTTCTAAAGCAATCTACCCATTAGTGCAATACCTATCAAAATCCCAATGGAATTTTTTTTATAGAACTAAGACAAAAAAACCCCTAAAATTACTATGGAACTAATATTCACAGCATTTCTTGTAAAGGACAAAGCTAGTAGTGTTACTCTCCATAATTGCAAACTATACTATAAAGTTGTAGTACCACAAACAGCATGATATTGGCAGAAAAACAGACATATGGATCAGTGGAATAGAATCAAGAGCCCAGAAATAAACCTACATTTATAGGTATAAGTAATTTATGATAAAGTCACAAGGAACACAGAATGAAGGGAAAAAAAGTCTGCAATAAGTCATCTTGGAAAAACTAGAAAGACACATGGAAAAGTATGAAACTAAATGACTCTCTTAGACCATACACAAAAAATAACTCAAAATGGATTAAAAATTTGAACAAAAGTTCTGAAACCATAAAAATCATAGAAGACAATATAAACAGAGGTCTTTGACACTGCTCTTTGTGATGTTTTGTGGATTCAATTTTAATGGCAAAGGAAACAAAAGCAAAAGTAAACCAGGAGGACTACATCAAACTGAAAAATTTCTACACAGCAAAGAAAACCATCAACAAAATAAAAAGACAACCTACTGAAAGGGAAAAGATATTTACAAATCATACATCCAATAAGGTGTAAATTTCCAAAATATATAAAGAACCTATCTGTCTCAACAAAAATATAAACAAAAAACAAACACCTCAATTGAAAAATGGGCAGAAGATCAGATTAAGCAGTTTTCCAAAGAAGATATATAGACGTCAAACAGGTACATGAAAAAATATCTGTGCAACATAACTAATTATTAGGAAAATACAAATCAAAACCACAATATCATCTCACACATATCAGAATGACACACCAAAATGACAAAAAGCAACACATGTCAGAAAAGATGTAAAAAAAAAAAAGAAGGGAATCCTCATACATTATTTGTGGGAATGCATATTATTAGTACAGCCACTATGGAAAAAGTATGAATTTTCAAAAAATTAAGAATAGCATTACCACATGATCTAGCTATTCTACTTCTGTATATTGATCCAAAGAATATAAAAGCACTAATTTGAAAATATCTGAGCACAAGTTTATTTACAGCATTTACAGTAACCAAGTGTAGCATTACTTATAGTAACCAAGATTTAGAAACAACTTGTGTCTTTTGATGAATGAATGGATAAAGAAAATTGAGTGTAATTATGTGTGTATAGATACATATATACATGTATACACGCATGTATACATAGAATACTACTCAGCCACAAAAATGTGAATTCTTACCAAATGCAACAACATAAATGGACTTTTAGCATATTATTCTAAGTGAAATAAGTCGGAATGTAAAACAAGTACTCTACTGATTTGCTAATATGTAGAATACAAAAAAGAAAAACAAAACAGATTAACAAACTAACAAAACAAAACAGAGACAAACTTATAGAGGCAGACAACAGATTGGTGATTACCAGAGGGGAATGGAGTTGAAAGGAAAATGTAGTCACCTGCACGGTGATAAATGGAAAGTAGATTTTTGGTGATAAGCATGATGTAGTACACATAGATTTTGGATTGTAATGCTGTGTACCTCAACTCATAGAATGTTATAAACCAATGTTACCTTAATTTAAACACACACACACACACACACACACACACACACATAAAGGCCCTCCTCTGCTTGAAATTTTAAATAAGACTTTATTGTGTATTTCATAAAAATACTGATTTGGCATCCAATTTTATAATCCTTATGTTTTTGTATCCTTATAAAATGTGTATTTGTACCAAGTGGCAAATACTTTAAAAGAAATATAAAAAAAACAAATAGAAGGTATTTTTCAATTTAAAAATTTATGGTCTGTGATTCCTCACGCAATGGTAATACAGTGCAGAACACCACTAAATTACCATTCTGCCCTCATGTTATGCCTAAGGAGTATATTACTGGTAGGAAAACAGGTTTCAAATGATATCAGAGAGACATATATAGCAAATGTGCATACAAAATTTCCAGTTGTGCTTGCTTAATTAGATGCTGGTAACAGCAGTACGCAATTGTATAGAAGGCATGGAAACAGTGGGTTAGAAAAATTCAAATAAATCAGGTATCACTTTTGGACCACAGATAAAAGATAAGCTTCAATGCATCTGCATCTTAACCAGCCTAATCATAGTTTTGATGATTGTGCCAAAGGGACTGTTCTTTGCTCTATTTTCACAGTGAGTGAAAAGCAACAAAAGGAACAGCTTTAATTCTCACACTTCCTGACAGAAGAATCATATGGGATTACTTCTGGAATTCATTAAAGCAAGAATTAGAGCAAAAGATCATATTTTACTTGATATATACATTACGATTTGATAATGTGATACTTATGATCCTGGTGAGGTAATTAACTGATTTTGGCAATTGGGAAGAATTTCAGTGTATGAGTGTGCTATGCATAAATATATATGCACACCTCAACACACAAATAACATGTATGATACTTTTCCAATGAAAATATTCTGAACCATACACACACAAAAACCATCGATCTTGTTGCCACTGGATAAAAGATAAAGCTCCCAATTACAGAACTGATCACATCACCTAACCATGCATTAAACAAATCTTTAGAATTAGAAAGTTCTTTTAAAAAATTGTTATATTGCGCAAATATTTACTAATGTATTAATTACTTAAATTAAGTTTCTAACTAAATGCTCATCACTTAACATGAGGATTCATTCCAGTTGAATGTTACCTGTCAATCTTTGATTGAATCTTAGATGAAGAGAACATCTGACATTATAGTGCAAATATAATAGAAAATGAGAGCAACTTTAAATTATAGATCTTGAGAAAGATGCAAGATTTTATAAGGTTGCTGAAATTATTGTTGGAGAACTTTTGAAAGTCTTACTTGTTTTTAATCAGAAGTACAGTAGAGCATATAGGATTCACCTACACACAAACAGATCTGTTCATTTACTTGCAGCATTCTTTTGTCCCCATATGAGTCTAGAATAGATATTCTAAAATATTTTGATTTCAGTACTGCTTTATACTCTTACCAACGATGTTCTTAAGCAAGCTCTTACAAGAGTTTTTATTTGTGGGGTATATCTTTATAAATTACTCTTTAAAAATTAAACTGAGGTTTTAAATACAAATCAGTTCATGTAAGATAATTGAAATACACTATATATGTTAGTCAAAATAACATTTTATAAAAAATAAATATATTTCTCAAAACAAAAATGGCAATCCAGTTTACTGCTACAGGGTATAGAGAGTTGCAAAGAGTGTCACTCACACAGTTACAAAAACAACAGCAACGATAAAAGCCAAACTAAGTCTATATTAAAGACATTTTTTTAATCAAGTAATTACAGAGCAGAGCAACCAACTGGCCCCAGATTTAAGAGGAGACTAATGCATGCAGGGAGAAAGGTAACTTGAGTACTCACTCGGGTATATATCTTTATATATTACTCATTATGTAACCAGTAAGAATCTTGCAAAATGCAAGTCCCTGAAAACACCTGAAATTCTTTGGGATTGTAGACATTGAAGAATCTGTCACCCTCTTGTAGCCTTTATCTCTGGGCACACATAAGTAATAATTAAGGGAGAGACCTACATAAATTTTTGTTTTGGTGACGAAGGGGAGAGGAAGAGAGGCTGTAAAGGATGGGCGCAAATCTATCCCTAAACCCATCCTCTCTCTCTACTACGGCACAGAAGAATAAGTAAACTGGGGGAAGGACTACAGACATTTTTGCCCTAAGGATACTGGTGAAAATTCAGTGCAGCTGGGGAAAAGAAATTTTTCTGGGGAAGAGGCAAGAAAATAAACTGGGCTCAAAATAGTATGGGACTGGACAATAAGAAAAACATAAACAAAAAACAGAAAGCATCCCATCTTTTCCCCAACTCACCACTGTTCTGTTAACCAAGCTAACAAATTTCCAGGAATAACTGTCTGCAGAAAGAGAGATCAAAGCAAAACAAGCACAAAGAGGTTTAACTCAGCTGTATGAACTGAAGCTGAGACATTATTTTGTGGGACTCTCACCCCTGCTATAAACTACAGGTGTGGCAGAATTTGAAGTGTATGATCTATAGAAGGTAAACACAATAACGAATCTCAAATCCAGCCCAACCTTAGATTAACTGAAACACCAATCTTAAGACCTAGAAGATAGAAAAGTCATGTTCACTTCAGATAGAAAATCTCCTTACTTCAGCTTCTACTAAAGTTTCATCTTTCAATAAAAAATTGCGAAACATATTAAAGCAAGAAAAAAACATACCAATAAGCTATAAAAATACAATCGATATGATTTTCAGATATGAAGTGTTGTAACTATCTGAATAACAAATTAAAATTAATTAACTTGTTAAAAATAATGGAAAATGTGGGCAACACACAAAATCAGATAAGAGACGGAAACTACAAGGAAACAGAAAATATAAATGCTAAAAAAATATTAATAGATGCAATTAATACCCTTTCATAGTCTAGTGAGAAGACTAAAATGAGCTGAAGAATTAGTAAACTTGGAAATTAGTAATTTGAAATAAATGCAAACTAGAACAAATAGTGTAAAAAAGAGTAAGAACCACAAACAAAGAACAGCGCACCAGGAGCTGCAGCACAACATCACACAGTCTAATATGGAAATATTTGGAATTTCAGAAGGAAAAGTATAGTGGGAGAGACCATGGCAGAAAAAAATATTTAAAGAAATGTCAGTTACATGTTTTCCAAACTTTTTGACAGACACCAAATTAAGAATCCAAAAAGCTCAGAAAACTCTAAACAGTATAAATATCAATACCCCCTCCAAAGCAAACATATTAATTAAATTATATATCTAAATATTGAATAGAAAATCATGGACAAATTTTAAAAGAGACATGTTAAAGACACTAAAACAAAAATAGGAATTATAGCAAATTCTCATAAAAATGAAAGTCAGGAAACAGTTTTCATCTTTACTGTGCTAAAAGAACAACAAACAAATTAAACACACACAGACACACACAAAGCAACTAACAACCCAGAATTCTATATATATAATAAAAATTATAAAAAATGAGGGAAAAAGTTCTCAGACCAAAACCAAAACCAAACAAGCAAATAAAAATAACTGAGGGAATTCAGTGCTATCTGTATTAATTTTCTACAACTATATAACAAATTATCAGAAATTTAGTGGCTTAAAGCAACACAAAATTGTTATTTTACAGTTTCCATGGCTCTGTAGCCTAGTTAAGCATGGCTGAGTTCTCAGCTCAGAGTACCACAAAGCTGAAATCAATATCTCGACCAGGGCTGCTATTTATCCCATTGGAGGATCCTTGTCCTCTTCTACACTTATTCTGCTAATTAAGTCATGAGCTGCCATTAATTATAAGACATCTCATCTTCATTCAGAGATGTTAAAATGTGAAAAAAAATTTGTCTTAAATTGATGGAATGGAGTATAATATTACTGCTCTGAATAACAGAATAAGGGAAATTAACAGGTACATTAATAAAATGACATTACTGAATCTCAAGATTATTTACTTTTTATAAGTATACTTGCATTTACTAAACTGAGACAACTGTATATGAATTAACAATAAAAATTTAAAAAATAAAAATAAGTATACTTACATTTATAATAAATGTTTACCAGTATATCAATTGTCTTGTGATGTCATGAAATATCTTTCAAAGTTTTATTATTTTTGATCATATAGGTTTGCATGTATAATAATTTCTGTTTTATTTAACTACTCTCATCTTACTAACAGTGAAAATATTATGGCTCCAGACCCCTTACCAAAGAAAGTATTCACTCTGATTTATGAATATTTGTTTAATATTCATTTATGGTTAGAGTTAGTCATAAATATTGCAATGTTTATACATTTAATGATTATAGAGAAAGCATATTTTAACAACTCAGTATCTTTCTTTTTTCTATAATTTGAAAAAATTTTAAAGTACAGTTGTTACATTATATTAGTTTCATATTATGTGTACAACATAGTGATTAGACAGTTATACAATTTAGGAAGTAATCGCTCCTCAGTTTCTTTTCTTAACTGAAATTACAAGTTAGGCAGTTGCTCTCAAGCCTTATGTTAAGTATGAGTTTGAAATATATATGAGGAGGGACCCCATCCCAAAGAATGAATTATCTTTTGGAGGCTGGGCCCCTTGTAGTAAAAGCTTTCCCTGCTAGGAGGTTGTTTTAGGAACTCATTTATGTCAGTGTATCAACTGGCATTATTGTGAGAGGTTGTGTTTGGCTTCAGCAAATTTTTTTTGAAAACTCTTTCAATGTGTTTGCCCATTTCATGGTGGGTGATTTAGGAGCGCACCTGCCCACACCATACCGAGTGATCAGCAATTTTTGAATTAAAATGGCATGACCCCCTACCCCACCCTCCCTATTCACTTGACTTTACCCTGAGGGACGGTTTTGTCTTTTTTTTCCCCTAAATGAAAAAAGTTCTCAAAGGGAAACATTGTGCCAATGTGGGAGAAGTGAAACCAAAAAATGGCAGAAGCACTAAATAACATCAGAAGAGATGAGTTCAAAACTGTTTTGAGCAGTGGAAAAAAAGTCTCAATAGGTATACTGCAACAAATGGAGAATATTTTGAAGGTGACTGAAGTTTACACATGTAAGAAAAAATACACAATTTTTAATACATAAATTCCATTTTGGGGTTCCCCCTCGTATCAATAAAAAGTCTTTAATGAATCTTTACCTAATTTTTGGCCAAGATGCTTAACTGTATCATTTCCAACTAAAGTATATTCTCTTTCTTATACAAAATACAGAAGTGAATACATTTATCTAATTCCATTTTTGTTTGGCGAGCAGTATCGCATCATTCTCTGCAGGATTCTCTGCCACCCAGATCCAGTAACCAAGTGCAATCCAGCACAAAGTTTGCCTCCTCGTGGAGGTGTCCTGTCCACCAAGAGGTGAGGTTGTGAACCCCTGAAAAAGGAGATTTACTTCCCCATTCCCACTAGGGATCCCAACATTTTTATTTTGCACTGGGACCTGCAAATCATGCACCCTCCCTTGGGAATTTATGTGAACTTTTCATACGTTCACTATCTTGATTTTGTCATTGTTTTCACCAGTGTATTCCTAGGTCAAAACTTACCAAGTTGTATACTTCTAAAATATGTCCAGTATGACAAATATGGTTCAACAAAGCTATTAAATAAAATCCAAAAGCAAAGAAAAAAACAGATCAGTTTAATGCCAACTGATAGACCTTTATGTAAGCATCTGTTTTTTCATGTAATTTGGATAAAAGAAGGATATTATTGTCTTTGCACCCTTGGACTGAACAAAAGTACAAGTACTTTTACCAACAAGGACAGGCTGTGCAGGCACCAAACACAGAATCTAGGAAAGACTACTTTCCAAATCATATGCACATGTTCATACAAAATGGTGAATTTATAGGACTAGTTAGCATGATTCTTAGGCCAGGCAACATTTTAAAGCCACACATAGGGCTGTTTCAAATCACTGTAAGGGATTTTGTGTCTGGAATCTTGGTTAGATTAAAAGGAGGAAACTCAGTGTGAAGGGTTTGGAGTTTCTTTTAAATAAGTAATTTGAAGTGTGTTTCAGAACATCTAAATCACTACTGTCCTATTATTTCTCCCACTGAACTATTTGCCAGTCAGAATAAATAAATTAATGTTATTAGAATTGCATTTTCCTAAGTCCTCTACCTCCTGCTTTGATGACTTGTGGTCTTTAAGTTGGGAGACCAGGAGCTCAAGTTGGAATTAATAAGATTCTGTTGGTGACCATGGCAACATCCTGCTGTTTCCAAAATACCCTTCCTCTTACTATGGCCACCAAAAAAGGGTGTGATTATCCAATATAAATAATGAAAAAGGGGAGCTGTCAATATGTACTATAGAATATTGTACATGAGTTTAAAGAATAAGGTGTATTCACTTGGCATAGTAGTATTTCCAAGACATAATAAACAAGATATTGCTTTATAAATATGTATGTAATAATAAAAGAAATAGACAATCAACAGATTGATGACACATTTAATCACTATTATACACACTAAAATAAATAATACATGATAAAATTATCTTTATATGTGTTAATTATGTGTATTAGTATATAAAAATATTCAGACATCAAAATAATAACATAATCATCCTTTACGGAGTGTCTTGCATTGGGGAAGGAGCCAGGGTAACTGTTTTATTATTTGTTTGAATTATTATACAATGATAATGTTAACATTTATTCTGTTTATTTAAATAAGTGATGTGTTTTATAAAAAGTGAAACAATAACAAAAACAAATGGTACAATTTAAAGTCCTTAGTGTCAGTACAGGGTGAGTATAAGAGAACATACAGGATGTACATGAGAAAACTAATAGAAGATTTATCAGGGATGATGGCTCGGTACCCTAACCAATAGGAGGAATAAAGAGTGCCATGAATTCAGAGCCACTTACTATAAAGAAGCAGCGTGTTTTGTAAAGAAAACAATATCTACATACCAAGAACCTGTACACAGTCATAGTACATGTAAAAGAAATTTCCTTTTAAAACCATCCTCCATGGTAAAGAAGAATTTATTAACTCAAATCGGTTATTGTCTAGAAATTATCACCCTATACATTTTTTAAGACAACTTCATTGATGTTTAAAAATAAACTACACACAGGAGAAAAAAGACTTATTATAATAATACATTCCAAGATTCTTGTGTTACACATCCATTTAATAAATTTTCCCACTAAATGATAACACATAAATATATTGTTTTGTTCTTTTTTTCTTCACTCAAACAAGGGTGGTGTAGAGCTACTCAAGGACTCTGACAGAATTGAGGCAAAGTCCCCAAGCAAAATTATTTTAGCTTCTGTGCTTTGCATTCACATCTTTAATATTCTATTTGATCTAAATAAAAGATCAAAGTTGTAATCATTGAAGCTCACCAAAATGTCAGAATTGGTTGTATTTGTAGTTAACATGTAAAACGAACAGACTTGTATAACACTATTATGGGTAGTAATTCATTTCTTAAACATTTTATTGTATTTACTTTTAGAGAGAGGGGAAGGGAGGAAGAGAGGGACATCAATGCATAGGTTCCCTCTCACGTGTCCCTTAAGGGGACCTGGCCTGAAATCCAGACAAATGCTGTAACTGGGAATGGAACCAGCGACCTTTTGGTTTTCAGGCCAGCGCTCAATCCGTTGAGCCACACCAGCCAGGGCTATTATGAGTAATGATTTAAATGCTTATAACTGCGTACATAATCAAATAAAATTAATTATATTAATCATATTTAGTCTGAATAACTTTAGTATTAGTATACCTATCACACAGAGCATACACATTTATGATAACTCAGAAATGTCAATGTTTTTGTGTACATTTGTGTTAAATGTGAATTTCATAGTAGACAAATTAGAAATTAAATTTATATAGAATAGAGGTTCCTACAAGGAAAAGAGAGCAACAGAAGGACAATTTTTTTCTGTGCTTTAAGTTGCCTAACGTGTATAGTTAACTTTCTACATGTCAAGTAAATAACACAGCCTATAAAAGGGGAATAAAATGTATAGCATAAATCTCAGAGAGTGCTATATTGATTGCCTAATTAACAAAATCAAAAAGGATCAAAAATAATTTTTCCCAAACAAAGTGATGAAGACCTATTTACTTTTGTTACCAAGAGCTCCCTCAATTTTAGATTTTATAATTTTTCATAATCCAAAATTGAAGAATTTGAAGAATAATATAATTAATTTGAAAATAAAAATGAGGCACCTAAACAAGAAAGGAAGAAGTAAAAATGTCTCATTTGCTAAAGACACAGTAGTTTAAATAGAAAACCCTGAGGTTCCATTATAAAACTGTACGAACTAATAAAGAAATTCAGTAAGTTGCAGGATACAAAATCAATATACAGAAGTCAGTTGTGTTTCTATACAAGAACAATAAGAATTTCACTTATAATTATCTCAAAAAGAATAAAATACCTAGGAATAAATTTAATCAAGGAGGAGAAAGATCTGTACATTGTAATGTATAGGACATTGATGAGAGAAATTGAAGTTGCAAATAAATGAAAAGATATTCCAGGCTCATAGATGGAAAAAATATTAATACATTGAAATGTTCATACCTACCAAAGAGACTACAGATTCAGTGCAACTCCTATCAAAATTCCAGTGACATTTTTAACAGATATTTTAAAAAGTCTAAAAATTAGTGTGGAATGACAAGACTCCAAATAGCCAAAGCAATCTTGAGAAAGAACAAAGAGGGAGGTATCATGCTTCTCCTGATTTCAAAGTATAGCATAAAGCTATAGTCATCAGAACAGTATAATACTGGCATAGAAACAGACACAAGGATCAACAAAAAGGAATAGAGAGCTCAGAAATAAACCCACACATACATGGTCAATTGGCTTACAGTAGAGGAGCTGATAATATACAGTGAGGATAGGACAGTCTCTTCAGTAAATAGCGCCGGGAAAATTTGACAGACACATGACAAACAATGAAACCAGGCCTCAATCTTACAGTATACACAAATATCAACTTTAAACTCAAAGTCAAATAAAAAAGCTTCGGCAGAGCATAGTAAACCATCAAAAATTGTAAAGGTGGTTAATATCCAAACTATAAAAAGAACTGATACAACTCAATGACAAAAAAAATATAATTAAAAATATAATTTTTAAAATTATTAAAATTATATATATATTAAAATTATATATAAAAATATAATTTATAAAAAATATAATTAAAATATATTTAGTGGAGCTAAATAGACTTTTTTTTTCCCAAAGAAGATATCTCAATAACCAATAGGTACATGTAAAGATGCTCAACATCACTAATCATGAAAACCACAGAGGAATATCACACCCTTGTACACTGTTGTTAAGAATTTAAATTGGTACAACCACTATGGAAAACAGTATGTAAGTTCCTTAAAAATTTAAAAGTAGAACTGCCATATAGTCCAATAATTCCATTTCTAGGTATAAATCCAAAGAAAATGAAATCACTCTTTTAAAGAGATTCTTTAACTCCTACGTTCATTGCACCATAATTTATAATAGCCAAGATAGGGAGTCAACCTAAATTCCAGCAATGATGAATAGATAAGAAAGAGGGGTGCATACAAGATCTTTCTGGAGAAAGTCCAGCTATTGTTAATATAAAGAGAACAGTTTGCATGACACCAATGTAACCTGACAGCCAAGGAAAATTGACTGGATAGTGCATGAGTGAACAATGACAACCTCACTGTGCTAGTCAGTGGGGGGGGGTAGATGCCATTGAGTGAACATGTGTACAGTGTGGCCATAACATTCAAAATGACTGAGTAGAGCAACAAATCTGCATCAAATTTTGCATTAAGTTTGAACATTCTTCCATGGAAACTATTTGGATGATTCAGAAGCTTTCCAGGGATGATGCAATAGATGCAGCACAAATGAAAGTGTGGCACAAATGCTTCAAAGATGGTTAAGAATCTGCTGAAAGTGATCCACGTTCTGGAAGGCCTGCAACAAGCAGAACACTTGAGAATGTTAAATGTGTATGGGCTGCAATCAACAAACATCAGTGACTGACAGCGCAAGAACTAGAAGCTGATCAGGAAATTCCAAAAGCTAAAGTATCTGAGATTTTGACACAGGATCTTGGCATGAAATATGTCATAACAAAATTCACTCACACTGTCTGCTACCAGAGCAGAAGGAACATTTCTGCTGCAGTTGCTAATGACTTGATTCAAACTGCTACCAATGAACCAGATTTCCTCAAGAATGTCATGACCAGAGATGAACATGTGTCTACTAGTATGGCTATGATCCAGAAACAAAGGCTCACTCATCCCAATGGAATTAGATTGGTTCTCCACGCTTGAAGAAGATTCAGTAAAGTTACAGTAAGATTAAGATCATGTTAACTGTGTTTTAGGATTGGGAAGGTATTGCCAATCACAAGTGCACCACTCCAGACCACACAATTAATAAGGAGTACTGCCTTAATGTTCTTCATCAGTCGAGAGATGCAGTACGATGAAAGTGGCCCAGCTATGGGCAACCGGTAATTGGTAGCTTCTTTACGACAATGTGCCTGCTCAAGCACCATGTCTCATGCAGGGTTTTTTGGTGAAGTCTCAGATCACTCAGGTGACTCAACCCCCCTACATACCTGATTTGGTACCCTGTGATTTCTGGCTTTTCCCAAAACTAAAAATCACCTATGAAAGGGGAGAGATTTCAGACCATCAATGAGATTCAGGAAAATATGATGACGGGGCAGCTGATAGCGATTCCAATAAAAGATTTTGCAGTGTTTTGAACAGTGGAAGAGACACTGGGAGAACTGTATGAAGTCCCAGGGTGCCTACTTTGAAGGAGACTGAAGAGTCATTGCCTTATGTACAATGTTTTTTTGTATCTTTTATCTTCTTCCATAAATGCCTCTATATTTTATATTACATAGTTGGATACTTCCTGGACAATACTTTCTGCTACAAGACAGGAAATCCTGAGATTTGTGACAACATGAATGAAACTTGAGGTCATTATGCAAGTGAAATACATATTTCAGAAAGAGAAATACAAACACTGGATGATCTTTTTTATATGTAGAATCTAAAAACAACTGAAATCATAAGTGTAGTATTTCAATGTGTAAATGTACCACAGCTTTTTTAAAATTATATTTTATTGTTTATGCTCTTATAGCTGTCCCAATTCTCCCCCTTTGCCCCCCTCCACCCAGCACTCCCCACTCCTTCAGGCAATCCCCCCACCATTGATCATGTCCATGGGTCATGCATCTAAGTTCTTTGGCTACTCCATTTCCTATACCGTCCTTTAAATTACCATGACTATTCTGTAACTACCTACTTGTACTTCTTAATTCCCTCACCTCCTCATCCATTTCCCCATTCCCCACTTCCATCTGGTACACATCAAAATGCTCTCTGTATCCATGATTCTGTCTCTGTTGTTGTTTGCTTAGTTTGTTTTCTTAGATTCTGTTATTGATAGATATGTATTTATGGCCATTTTATTGTTCATAGTTTTGATCATCTCCATTTTCTTAAAGAAATCCCTTTAACATTTCATCTAATAATGGTTTGGTGATAATGAACTCCTTTGGTTTTTCCCACTCCAAAACACATCATAATTAAAATGCCTAAGGTTAAAGATAAAGAGAGAATCTTCAAATCAGCAAAAGAGCAGTTAGTTACCTGTAGGGGAGTTCCCATTAAGACTGTCAGCAGATTTCTCAAAAGAAACTTTGCAGACCAGAAGGTGTTGGCAAGTACTATCTAAAGTCATGAAAAGAAGGGACCTACAGCCAAGACTGCTCTACCCAGCAAAGCTATCATTTAGAATCGAAGTGCAATGTGTACCACAACTTTTTTATCCACTCATCTTCTGATGGGCACTTGGGCTGTTTCCAGATCTTGGTTATTGTAAACAAAGCTGTATGAACATAGTGGTACATATATTCCTTCAATTTGGTGTTTCAGGATTCTTAGAATATATTCCCAGAAGTGGGATCACTAGGTCATAAAGCAGTTCCATTTTTAATTTTTTGAGGTAACTACATACTGCTTTCCACAGTGGCTGAAGCAATCTGCATTCCCACCAATAGTGTAAAAGTGTTCCCCTTTCTCCACATCCTCACCAGCATTTGTTTGTTGGTTTATTGATGGTAGTCATTTTGACCCATGTAAGGAATATCTCATTGTGGTTTCAATTTACACTTCTCTGGTAATTAGTGATGTTGAGCAATTTTTCCATACGTCTTTTGGCTACATGTATATCCTCTTTGGAGATGTGTCTGTTCAGGATCTGTGCCTATTATTTTAACTGAATTGTTTGTCTTCTTGACATGGAGTTATATAAGTTATTTATATATTTTGGAGATTAATCTCTTATTAGATGTATCATTGGTGAATATGTTCTCCCATAGAGTGGTTTCCCTTTCCCTTTTATTTATTTATTTAGTCATTAATTAATTTATTTATTTTGCTGAATACACATATTTTAAGTGCTTATTATTTTTGGTCATTACGTAGCTTTCAAAAAATACCTTTATACAAGCAACTTAAATGAAACCCTTAGAGTTAGCCATGAATAATATACCTTTATTACATTAACAATTATTTTCTTTTGCAACAAAAACATTTTGAAAATCACTGTTTGTGTGTGTGTGTGTGAAAAGCACTTCACGAATATTAGGTCATTAATAAAACTAATCCTATAAGAAAAATAAGTGAAAATTAAAAAAAAATAGATTTGATCACTTCTTATAAACACACATACCTTAGACATGGTGAAATAGACACACATTTTAATTTTTAAAAATTATTATTGCTAATTCATTTGTTAGATTGTTTGGAGTAGCATTTGTGTCTATAGATTGCTATAATAATGGCAAATAAATGGTTTTATTCAAAGCTCAACTTGGAAACATCAGAAGCTCAGATGATACTTACATAGCTAGAGTTTTAATTAAGAGAATGTCCTAAATATGTTGATGTTATATTTTAATAATGAGTTTAATTGCACAATTTTTTAAGGTTTCAATGTGTTTACTGGAAACATTACCTTCATGTTTTCTATAGATTTTTTAATATGTGTATGACATTGTTAGAAATATAATAAGAAATTACTTTTTAGAACAGGCATTCTTTGACCCTTTTATAAGCAATAAGGGCAGTGAGATCTGAGAATTCCACTGAACAGTTTTATAGCAATAGACAAAGTAGTTTCATTACCACAGGCTCAGTTTTCTCCTGTGAGTCTTAGGCTATTCCTTTACTGTCCTTATTGCAGACAATTCGTTATTTTAACTGTTTTTTCTCTGAAGTTACATTGTTTCATTGAGATCCTTGGTCTGTCTTGAATCTCAGGGCTCTCTTTACCCTAAAAGCCATTTGGATGGTTCTGTAAGATAGGAATTACAAAATCAATTTGAAAACAAAACAAAAAAATTAGTGTGGTATGTGGAATAAATGTTACTTTGAGTTGAAATACCCTCCCCCAAAGGGCAAGAAGTAATATAGTCCAAATAATATGTTGTTGGTAGATCTTAAATAAGTTCTATCCTCTCATGGGTTCAGAGGTAAATTGCTTCTGCTTGAAGAGAGCCAAGCTTCTTGGCCCAGTGTCATAAGGATGAGCTTTTGTCTAGAAGGATCTTTGTACAAATATTGGTATTTTTACTGAGTATCTGGTTTATTTGTTTTAATAAAACACATACGTTTTTTCAGTGTTTCACAAGTTTGACATTGTGGTCAGATTTTCTCTTGCTCAAGCATCTTGCCCAAGGCAAACAGCATCATTTTTGGTGACATCTTGTTTTACATTATGAATTGCATCTGAAGTCTGAGAAAGGCAAACATTTCATGGTGAGGAGCCTGACAACAGACTCTTTCTGGAAGATGAATTATCCTTAATGTACTTTGTGCCCTTTTAGTAATTCTCATTATGACCTGGAATTGTTTTCAAATTTCAATTTCTTCAGATATGAATTTCAACAGAATGTTATTTAGTAGAAGCAGATTCTAAATATAAACTGAAACCCACCCCTTCCTTGGTAGAAATGTTGAAAAAGTATGGGTTATGAGCTATTGTACACATTTTAAAACCCGTGCGTTTTAATTTTCTTACTTAAAACATAATCACATTGACTGACATCATCATCAATGTGTCTGATGCTATTTCTGATGATCTATGACTCTCTGGTTACATTATCAAGCAAGTAAATCTGTTTTTTATAAAACATTCATGATAGTTTTCTTAAGAAGTGTTAGAAAGTAAAAACTTTTGTTTCCTGCAAAGAATGATTCCCTTTTTTATTTACTTAATTTTTATTTCCTAAAATTTTTGGTCTGAAAAATTTTTATAATGAAAATGACTCTAAAGGACAATATAATAAACAGTAATGTTCCCACCACTGCAGGGTTTATCTTACATATTTTGTTAAATTGTTTCCTGCTATTTTTGAAAACAGAAGACAAAAACCTAAATTACAACAAGTAGAGTTGTTGAAGTTCTCTTTACTCACTCTTCTTAGTTCTCCCTTCCCTTCAAAAGGAAAGTACTATAAAAAATTTCATGTATATTTTTCTAACCCACAATTTCTATGTTTATAAACTGATACCATTTTCATTTAAAAATATATACATTTTATAAACTTTATTATTTTGAATATGCATTTTCTTTTCACATGCCCTTATTTTGGAGAACTAGCCACATTAATATATAAAGATGTAGTTCATTCTTGTGAATCCTTGAATGTTATTTTATTTGAATATTATTACTGACAAATATTTAGACTCATTCCTGACTTTTACAATAAAAATAATGGTGCAACAAATACCCTTATAATTATCTTCCTACAACACTTGAAAGAAATTTTGAGATATGGGTAGAGTAAATATTTAATTATATTACCATGAATTTTAGTTTCTTTGCAGCTTTATATTTTAAAACATCTTTCTCAGTTAAGAATTATTTTTAGCCCTGACTGGTGTGGCTCAGTGGATTGAGTGCCAGCCTGCGAACGAAAGGGTCACTGGTTTCAATGCCCAGTGGGTTGCAGGCCAGGTCTCCGGTAACAAGTGTACAAGAGGCAACCATACATTGATGTTCCTCTCCCTCTCTTTCTCCCTTCCTTTCCCTCTCTCAAAAATAAATAAATTTATTTATTTAAAATTTATACAAAAATTTAACAAAAATTTAAAAAAGATTTGTTTTTGTTTAATTAAGTATATTGCAGTCAATTGTTTCTTCAATTTCTTAAGAACTTTAAGGTTACTTAACAATTTATTTACTTATTAATATTTTGCTAAAATGGGGTTTATTTATTCCTTATCAAAGAATGTAATGGAATCTCTTTATGTTTGCTAGCAATAGCAATATTTTATTTATTTTTAAAGATGTTAGTGCATTATGTGTGCCATTTAATTATTGATTCACAACCAAATACAAAACAAAATCTAAAAATAGAAGATGGGTACCGATGGGAAAGATGGCGGAGGAGTGAAAGGGAGTCACGCTGACCTCTTCCCAAAA